CCCCCGCCCCCCCCCTGCCCCCTTTTCGTCTGCGCCCGTCTGCCGTGCATGCTGCTGACCCTCGGCCTTTCCGCCCGCTCCCCAGCCGTCGCCTCGAATCCCGGGCGCTTTGACGCCTTCACCAATCTCGCGATGGAGTCCGAGAGCCTGGTCCTGGAGTCGGCCGGGCCCAACCGGGCCCCCTTCTCCTTCCTGCTTCGGGCCATTTCCTCCACCTGCAAGTTCCTGGAGGCCTTCACCCGGACGCCGTGCGTGTGTGGCGATCTCCTGCGCGAGGTCCCGGTGCCGGAGCTCCTGTCGCTGGCCCTGCTTCCCGGGCTGCCGTACACCTTCTCCGAGGGCCGGTCCTACTCCTGCATCACCAAGCTCCTGGGTCATTTGATCTCCAGCTCGAATCTCTGCGTCAAGTCCTTGCTGCCGTTCCTGGTGGAGCGCCTCGGCACGAGCCTCGCCACGCTCCAGGCCGAGGGCAGCCTCTTCCACAAGTTCTCCTTCGATTCGCATCTGGCACAGTTCATCGGCATCACCGGTGCGTGGCGCGGCTTCTCTGCCTCTTCCTCTCTCTCCCCCCCCCCCCCCCCCCCCCCCCCGCCGGTCCATGTCTGTGAGCTAACTCCCGAATGCCGCGCTCCCGGTGTCCCTGTCCCCCCTGCCCCCGCCCCCCGCCCCCCTCCTGCCCCTGCCCCTTGTGGTGCACTGCATGCGACACAGACCCCGCGGTTCGTGATCGTGGCTCGGCCATCCTGCATGCCCTGAGCCAGTCCTTGATTCTGGTGCGGCTGGTGGCCGACCTGACGCACTTGACCCTGACCGGGCACATCTTCGGGTCGATGCTCTTCATCATGGAGTACATCGGCACCCCGGAGGTGGCGGCCACCCTGGCCCAGGCGGCTCGGCTGTCGCTGTCCCTGTCGAAGGAGGCCTTCCTGCTGTACCGGGCCCCGGAAAGCCCGGCCGTGTTGCGGCTGATTGAGACCCGCCGGGCCGAGGCGGCCGCCGAAAACATCCAGCTGCTGAACACCACCCAGCCGCAGTCCATGTACCAGCTGTCGCAACTGTCGCGCTACTTCACCCCCCAGGCCCAGGCGCAGATGGCCACCGCCGGGGAGAATGTCCGGCTCCTGTGCCCCTCCAACCGGATGGCCCTCTACTCGGTGAGCAGCAAATTTGTCAGCGCCCTGACGGCCCTGCTGCGGGGCTTCGCCGAGGCGGCGCACCGGCTCCAGGCCGAAACCCCGACCCTGGAGCGGAAGGCCTGCTTCCCGGCGCCGGCCGTTCGCCAGGCCGCCCGGCAGACCATGGCCCTGGTGTTGGATCCGATTCGCGAGCCGGGGTTCCTGCTGCCGGGGCCGGCATGCGAGGCCACTGCCGGGGGCTCGTCGCCGGCCGAGGCCGATGGGTCGTCCGCACCGGTGGAGCACACCCTGGTGGCCAGCTCGGTGGCCTACATGCTGGTGCATCGGCTCCATCGGGTGCTGGCCCAGGGCCAGCCCGGGTGGGTGCCCAACATCCCGATGGCCTTTGCCTTTGCCGAGCACCTTTCCCCGGAGGAGGCGGCCGGGCCGGCGGACAAGGTGTTCGCGGATGCGGAGCCGGCTCCCCTGCTGCTGGCCCGGTGCCTGTGGGCCCGGCGCCAGGCCTTGAGTCGGCATCCGGCGGCGGTGGCCGCGGCCGCCGGCGGGCACATGTCCTGCGCGTCCACCTGTCCCGAGGCGCCGGCCAATGTCCTGCCGGATCCGCTGCTCCGGGCCATGCGTGCCACGGAAATTGCCCTGTCCTTCTTCCTGAACTTGACGGCCGGGTTGATGACCTTCCGGCAGCTCTTCTCCCGGCAGGCCCTCACCTACTACTTCATCATGTATGCCTACTTCGGCGAGCCGGAGCCGCTGACGGCCGAGCAGGTGGCCGCGCTGCCGGCCCCGCCGCCCGACGCCGGGGCCGCCGGGGCCGACATCCTCCCCGGGCAGCCGGCCACCCACCATCGTGTGACTTACCATCAGCTGGTGGCGCCGGCCAAGCAGCATGCCCATGTCAGCCGGGCCCTGCATGCCTTGATCCGGTTCAATTCGCAAGTCAGCGACTTTGTCGTGGGCATGTGGCGCCAGGGGCTGGGCACTCTCAAGCATTGCGATGCCTACCTCCTGAGCCATGTCATCTATCATCTGCACTTTACGTTGGACTTTGCGCAGAATCGCCTGCCCGACTTGTCGGCGGTCAAGCTCCCGACGCCGGGTGGCCCGGCGCGGGTGTCCATCGACCCGCTGGCCGGGCGCCTTGACCGGACCCCGGGCGCCGGCTTCGGCCTGACGACCTTCGTCATGCCGGACTGGCAGACCTTGGTCGGCGGCCGGCCGGGAGAGGGTGCTGCCGCGGATGCCGGCCGGGGGGGCACCCTTGCCGCCGCCGCCGCCGCCGCCGGGCCCGGGGCCACTGTCCCCGGGTCACGGCCCGGGGATGGGGCCGCCCCGGGGCCGGCCGCCGGGCCCGGAAGGCCCATCCTCCCGGGCCCCGGGGCCGGGACCGGCACCTCCGGCGCCACGCCCGCCGCTCCGACCACCAATCCCCTGGCGTCGCCGCACTTCCTGGAGCTGCTGGACATCCTGCACGGGGTGTCGAGCCCGGACTCCGAGGACGAGGGCGATGCCGGGGACTCGGACACCGAGTCCGAGGATGGCCGGGGAAGCCCCTCCTCCGGGGATGAGGAGTCCATCGACATCCTGGAGCCGCTGTCGGCGGCCGAGGCGGCGGCCGCATTCGAAGTGCCGGAGGTCGAGCCGGATCCCAGCTCGGTGGACATGCTGCAGGAGCTGGGCTTCTCGCGGGCCGACTGCGAGCGGGCCCTGCGGGCGGCGCACAACAACCTGGCCGTGGCGGCGGATGCGCTGCTGTCGCAGCCGGCCGCCAGCCGGTCGGCTCCCCCGCGACGCCCGGCGCTTGTGATCCCGGAGCCGGTGGCCGCCGCGGGCGGCGCGTCGCCGGCGGCGGCGGCCGTTGAGGCGGCGGCGGCCGTCGCCACTGCGGCGGCGGCGGCGGCGGCCGGTGCCGGTGCCGGTGCCGGTGCCGGTGCTTCCTCCACGACGGAGGCCACGGCCGCGGCCGCGGCCGCGGCGACCTCCCCCGATGGGCGTGCCGGGGCCGGTGGCGCCGAGGCCGAGACCACTGGCACCGGCGGCGCTGCCGCCGCCGGGCGCCCCGCCGGCCCTGGCGACGCCCCTCTGCCACCCTTCCTGGAGGTGGAGATGTCGGCCTTCATTTCGACCCTGATGGACCACTTTTGCGAGCTGGCCGGCCGGCGCATCGCCGCGTCGCGTGCCCTCTCGACGCCGGAGCTGATCGACCAGTCGATCGAGCTCATCCAGTCGACGGAGCGCATCACCCGGAGCTGCCAGATCCTGATTGTGTCGCTGCTGCTCAGTGTCTCGGCCCTGGCCTTCAAGCAGGAGGACCCGGTGGCCGGGGCCAAGGCCGAGGATGCGGCCACCGCGGCGGCCAGCCTGACGGCGCACTATTCGCGCTCGCTGCTGGCCCAGTCGAAGGACCGGATCCGGGAGATGATCGATCGAATTGTCCTGCGCGCGCGCGACATGATGGCCGAGCTGCTGCTGCTGCCGGTCAAGGAGGAGCCGGGGTCGGCCGAGGCCGGCCCGGCCTTCGGGCTGTCGGGCTGCCCGCTGGCCGGGTCCCAGGGGCACCGGGCGGTCCTCCGGCTGCTGGCCGTGTGCTTCCAGGATGCGGACTTCGGGTCGGCCTTTGTGGCGTCGGTGTCGCGGCAGCTGGTGCCCACGCTGGCGGCCTGTGTGGACCGGGTGCTTGCCCGGCCGCCGGCCAGCCCGGACCGGCCGCCCTTCTGGCTGAGCACCTGCCTGTTGGTCTTGGTCCGGGTGCAGAAGTTCTCCTGCGCCATGGATGATGGCCAGGTGAACCCGGTCCTCCGGCGGCCGCTGGACATGCAGGCGGTCCTGCAGTCGGTCGAGTATTCGCTCCCGCGCCTGCTGGACGAGTCGCTTGCCGAGCCGGCGGCCGTTGTGGCCGAGCCGGCGGCCGATGTGCCGATGGCCGACGGCCCGGCCTCCGGGACGCGGCCCTCCCCCCCGCCGGCGGATGTCGCCCCGGCGGACGTCCCCATGGCCGACGGCCCGGCGGCGGAGGCCGGGCCCCTGCCGGCCGCTGTGGCCTTCCAAATTGCCCCCCTGACTGAGGAGCAGCAGCATGCGGTGGTTCGCCTGGCGGTGCTGGTGCTGGCACGCAGCGGGGAGCTTCCGCTGCTGGAAAATGAGCAGACCCTGGCCGATGACCATGTGCGCCTGATCACCCTGGCCCAGGCCGGGCGGAGCTTCACCCTGACGGTGGACAATTCCCTCTGCCCATCGTACGTCGGGGCCTTGATGACCATCGAGGCGGCCTTCATGGCCCTGGTGACGCTGAGCTCCAGCCGGTCGGCGGTCCGGCTGTTTGTGGCCCTCGGCGGCCCGGGGCACACCATCCGGTCCTGCCGGCGGTCGCTCTTCTTCAACCACTTCACGTATGCCAATTTGCTGGTGCGCCAGGCGCTGGAGCTGGCCCTGGTGGACTATGTGGTGGAGGACCTGGCCCTGCAGACGACGCACGCCCGGGACCCGCCGATCCCCCTGACGCGCTTCCTGGGCTACTTCCAGTATGATGCCACGGCCACGGCCAAGGCCATGGCCCTGGCCGGGCTGTATGGCGAGGCGGTCCTGTCGCAATCGCTGGCCGCCGGGGTGTCGGCCTACTCGCTGGAGCTGCCGCGGGCATTCTTGCGGTTTTCGGATTTGGATTTGTCCGCCGCCACGGGCCCGGCCGCCACGGGGGCCGATCGGCCGGCCGGCGGGGAGGCCGCCAAGCCGGCCGCCACAAGCCCGGAGGCCGTGTCACGGGCCTACTTCGCCGGGCTGGCACGCGAGTTTGACCGGTTCTTCCCGGACACCAGCGACGCGCCGCTGACCGCGGTCCTGGGGCCGCTGGTGGACGAGCTGCTCGCCTCGCAGGCCAGTCGCATTCACCTGGAGCGGGCCTTCCTCCGGACGTCGAAGCTCGGCGCCTCCGGGCCGAATTACGCGGAAATGCCGGCCCCCTGCACCCAGCGTCGACGCCTGGCGGCCGATGTGCGCTACCGCGATGCGCACTTCTACACCTGCTTCCTGATGGAGCTGCTGAAGGAGGTGGTGGCTTCCTACCCGCCGGCCAAGTATTACCTGGCCCTGCGGTATGTCCCGGGGGCCGGCAGCGGCGGGGGCTTTGTGGCCCCGGCGGCCGGGACCACGGCCCACGGTGCCACCGGCCCCGGGGCCGGTGCTGCCAGCATGCCGGGCCCCGGCGGCGGGGCGCCCAGCGCCGCGGCCACGGTGGCCGCCCCGGCGCGGCCCTTCGATTCGGCCTTCCTGGACTTCCTGCTGGACCGGATCCTGCTGGCGCACATGCGCGTCGAGACGCCGCCCGGGCCGAAGTCCTCGGCCACGGTGCTGGTGGACTCGCGCCGAACGGCCGAGGCCTCCCTGGCGGCGGATCTCCTGCTGGAGTTGTCGCTCGTGTCGACCTCGTCACTGAACCGGGTGCTGATCACCAGCCTGCTGGGGTTCAGCCGGCAGGCTGCTCCGACCGGGGCCGGGGCCGGGGCCGGGGCCGGGGCCGGGGTCGCCGCCGCCGCCGCCGCCGCCGCCGCCGCTTCTGGGCCCGGGGCGCCTGTCGCCGCCGGCGCGGCTCCCTCCCCGGCCTCCGGGTCCCTGCTGACGGACATCCCGTCCGACCGGTCGCCCATCTACTCGGCCCGCTTCGAGGTGGACCTTGCTCGGCAGCTGGTGCTGATGATCCACCACCGGGTGGCCACCCTGCTGGACTTGCTGGCGGCGCACTTGCACCCGGCGGCGTCCGGGTCCACCGGGTCGCCCATTTCCTCGGCCAGCGGGTCGCCGCAGTTGCTCGGCCTGCCGGGGCAGTCGCCGGTCCTGCCGGCCGCCGACAGCGGCGCCTGCGCGCCCGGCCTCCTGGGCGGGGCTTCGCTGCCGGGGTCCTCCATGGCGGCCGTGGTGACCGCGGTGACCGCGGCGGCCGCCAGTGCCAACACCCTGACGCCGAATCAGATCTTCGGCCGGCTGTCCATCCTGCTGCAACTTCTGTACCGGATCCTGTCCGGGTCCTTGGGGTCCATTTGCGAGGTGTCGCGGGCGCTGTCGCTCAAGAGCTTGCAATTTGCCTCGCCGGCCAAGGCGGCCCTGGATGCCGGGTTCATCCCCCTGCTGTTTGGCACCCTGCGGGTGTTGAATGCCAACTTCCAAGCGGCCCCGGAGCTCATCACGTCCATCCTCACGCCGCTGGCCTTCCTGACCAAAACCGCCAACCGCCTGTCGCAGATGATGTACCGGCTGCAGCTGAGCGAAAGCTGGCTGGCCAGCCAGCAGGCCCCCGGGGGCGGGAGCTCGGCCGGGGCGGCCGGTGCCAAGGCCCTGGCCGGGGCCCGGGCCCGGCGCCCCGGCGGCGATGCCTCCGACTCGGATGCCGAGGGCCCGGACCGGCCGAGCAAGCGCCGTCGCGGCGGCAGTGGCAGCTCGGCCGGGGCCGACTCGACGGCCCTGGCGGCGATGCGGCCGGGGCGCGCGCGCCCCGGCGCGGCGGGTGCCTCCTCCTCCTCCTCCTCCTCCGGCGCGTCGGCCAGTCGGACCGGGCTGCTGTTCAGCCGGTCGCGATCGTGGTTCGCGGCGCCGATGCGCACGTCGCTCATCATCTCGCACAGTGGCCCGGGGTCCGGGCTTGGCGGGCCTTCGCTCGGGGAGATTGAGTTTGTCATCGAGGCCGACGACTCGGACGACGAGGAGGAGGAGGACGCCCATGACGACGGCTCGGAGGGCATGGACGCCGGGTCGCCGGTCCCGCTGGTCACCGAGGCCGATGCCCAGCGGCTGCTGCACATTGTCTTCGACACGGCGTCCGACTCGGCGTCCGGGCTGGAGTCCGGCTCCGATGGGTCGGAGTCCGGGTCTTCCTCCGGGGCCGGCAGCGAGGCCGAGGACGCCGGCGACGGGCCGTCCGGCTCGACCGGCGCCCTGCGCTATGCGCAAATCCGCTCGCTGTCCGACTACGACCGTCTGGTGCTGCTGGATGCCGTGCAGGAGCAGGAGCAAATGCAGCATGCTCAGCAGCAGCAGCAGCAGCGCCAGCAGCGGCAGCAGCAGCAGCAGGCACAGGCCCGGGCACACGCACAGAGCCTCGCGCACGCGGCGCCGGCCGGTGCCGCTTCTGGGCCGGCCTCGGACAGCGATGCCGAGGACATTCTGCTGGCCCTGCTGGCGGCCGACCGGTCGTCGACCGGTGGCCAGACCATCCTCGACACCGGGTCTTCGCGGATCTACCTGTCGGACTTGCTGAGCTCCGGCGGCGGCGGCGGCGGCGGGCCGGCCAGTGCCGGTGGCGGTCGCTCCCCGGACGCCGGGGATGTGCTCTTCGAGGCGTCCGGGCCGCCTGGCGACTCGACCACCAGCGACTCGGAGCCCGGCCGGACCAGCGAGGACGACGAGGACCTCAGCCTGTCCGAGGGCGACATCAACATCGTGCTCAACATCCTGGATGGGGAGGACGACGAGCATGACGAGCATGGCAGCGATGATGACGAGGCCGATGACCATGACGACGTGGATCTGCACCTGCATCTCGGGCTCGGGCTCGAGCGCAATGGCCGCGTGGTGGCCGGCCCCGGCGATGAGGATGACGACAGCGACGTCTACTCCGGGCTGCTGATGCCGCTGGGGCGGGGCCGCGGTCGGGGCCGGGCTTCCGCCGCCGGGGCCTCCCACTCGGACTCCTCCGCCTCCTCCTCCTCGGACGAGGAGGAGGACGACGACGACGACGACGACGACGATGCCATCGACGAATCGACGGAGCCCGGTGTGCCGGGCGATGTCTTTGGGCAGAATTCCGACGTCGACGATGAGCATGACAGCCTGGTGGAGGATGACCACCTGCGCGACATGATGCTCTACGGCGAGGATGAGGTTGAGCTTCAGCTTCGCCGGGCCGGGCAGCCCGATGACAACTCCATCGACACATTGCCGTCCAGTCGCCGGCGCCAGAGGCTGATCCTTCGCCGGGCGGCGGTCATGGATTCGCCGCTGCGCGCCGGGCCCGGGGATGCCGCTCAGCCAGCCGGCGTGTCCGGGTCCCTGTCCCATGCGGCCGGCGGTGTCGGGGGCGCCACCCGGCCCGGGGCCCCGAGTCCCGGTCCTGGATCTGGCCCGGGGGCGGCCCTGTCGGGCCCTGTGCCCATGGGGGCGGCGACGCCGGGGCCGGTGGCGGTGCCGGCGGCCGCGGGCTCGGTGCCCTCCCCGGGGCAGGTGGCTGCTGCCCCGTCGCCGGAGGCCGCCCTGGCCGCCAGTGTGCCGGGCACGCCGGTGCCGGCGGCGGCGGCGGCCCCTGGGCCCGGGTCGACTGCGGCGCCGGCCGCCGAGGATCCCCTTGGCGACAGCCTCATCCTGGCGGTGGACGATGCCTTCGACGTGATGGACGCCGCGGCCGACGAGGAGGAAGAGGAAGACCCGGATGGCTGGGATGCCGATGGCGACCCCGAGGATGGGGGCATCATCAGCATGCCCCCGCCGCAGGGGCACCACGACATGTCGGACATCGAGTCCATGGACGAGGACGACGTCAATGAGGATGACTTCGGCGGGGAGACCCTTTGCGACAATTCCTACACGACGACCGTGGCCCCGGGCGATGAGCACATCATCGGCGAGGACCTGGTGCGCGATCCCTTCGACACCATGGACGAGGATGACGACGATGAGGCCCTCTTCGACCAGATCCCGCGGCTGGCCCGGCGCTACGTCGGCGATGAGGATGAGGACGAGGACGAGGATGAGGATCTGGAAGAGGAGGAGGACGACGACGACGAGGAGGAGGAGGAGGATGAGCATGACATCCACACGCTGCATGGCGAGGACCACGCGGACTTCGAGGCGCGTGGCCCGCCCCCGGCGGACGCCCTCTTCGCCCTGCCCTCGCGCAACTCCCCGATGGACCCTCACGATGGCATCCCGGGCGACTACCCGCCCGGGGAGCTGAACCGCCTGCTCCGCGCCCCGGGGCTCGTGGTCTCGGGCTTCCCGATCCGGCGCTCCGGGCGCCGGTCTTCCCTGTCTGTCGGGGGCACTGACCGGGGCGCGGCGGGTGCCCCCGGCGCCGAGCGGGCTTCCTCCCCGCCACCGGCCTCGGCCCCGGGCCCCGGTGACCTTTCCGAGGACACGGCTCAGCAGGTGGCCGGCCTGGTGCGGCTGCTGCAGTCGGCCTCATCGCGCCTGGCGCCGGGCTCCGGAGGCCATGGCGACAGCAGTGACGACGGCAGCAGCAGCAGCAGCGGCGGCAGCGACAGCGACAGCGACAGCGGTGCCCCGTCGGGCGGCGGCACCAGCGACTCCGACAACAGCGGGGCCTCGTCCGACGGGTCGGACCACTCCGGCGACGATGCGGACGTCAGCGACATCTTCCGCCTGCTGGCCGAGCAGGCCAGCGAGTCCGACGACCTCGACGAGGGCGGCGACCTCTCCTCGCCGGGTGGCCCCGGCAGCGAGTACAACGACATCCTGGCCTCGCTGGAGCGCATCCTCGGCACGGAGGGCGGCGAGTCGCGGGCCGGGCGCCGGCGGCCGATTGCCGGCGGTCCGCCGCTGGCCGCCGGCGGCTTCGGCGGCCCGGTGAGCTCCAGCGACCGCGAGGATGCCACCGAGCCACAAGCCACCAATCACCACCTTCGGCTGCCCGCCGGGGTGGGGTACATGCGCCTCCCCTCCGGCGCCTCCGGGCCCGGTGGGGCCGGCGTCGGGCCGGCCGAGGATTACCCCAGCTCGGACGCCTACTCCGACGAGGACCTGGACATGGTGGGGGGCCTGGGGCCGGACGACCTGTCCGAAACCACGGCCAACTACACGCCGGCCGACCTGGACCCGGATGTCATTGAATTCGGCATGGACGGCGAAATTGTCCGCATGGGCACCTTCACCTCGGGCGATGGGGCCGGAGCTGGCGGTGGCGGCGGCGGCGGCGGCGGCGGCGGCCCGGGTGCCGGGGGAGCCGACGCGGCGGCCCCCGGCGGCGGGTCCTCGCGGCGGCCCTCGGTCCGGTGGGTCTTGCCGCCGATTCGGCACCAGGCCGCGGCGGCTGGCAGCCCGCTGCGGCCGGGGCTCCTGCGGTCGCCGATCGGCCGGCGCTTTGGCGGTCCTGGCGGCGGGGGGGGCCCCGGTCGCCGGGGCGGCCCGGGCGGCCACCATCCCCTGGGCCCGGAGCGGTTGATCTTCTCGTCGATGAACTTCCGGGACTTGTGGGCCCGGGTGCGGCTGCTGCCCGACCCGCCGACCGAGGACTCGGCGCGCGCCTTTCGGCTGAATTCGGCCGACGCGGCGGAGGCCGACGCCCGGCTGCCGGGGGTCACGCCGCTTGGGGTTGCTCCCGGGCAGCCTCCGCTGCTGGTCAGCCCGGGCGGCGGGGCCGCCGGGTCGGCCGGCATGCATCACCAGCACCCGCTGCACTTGGTCCCGGAGCGCGAGGACCTGATCGACCCGGCCGGCAGCGACATGCAATCGCTGATGACCATGTCCGAGGCGGTGAGCCCACGCCCCGGGCGGCTGGCCATGCCGCGGTCGGCCGCGTCCCTGCGCATGGGCTGGTCGCCATCCGGCCGGCGTCCCTCGGGGTTCCTGCTCCCGGGGGTCCGGCCCCCGGGCATGGCCCCGCCACTGAGCCCTGGCACCCAGGGTGCGGCCGGCGGCGGCGGCGGCGGCGGCGGCGGCGGCGGCTCGACTGCCTCGCCCCGGGGGGCCGCCCCGATGCCGGACGACCTGAATGCCCTGGTTTTGACGGTCATGCCGGGCGCGGTGCCGGTGCGGTCGGTTTCGTCGTCTCCTCGCGAGGCGGCCGAGGCCCCGGCTGGGGGTTTGGCCACGGCCGGGGCGGGCGGCTCGGCGGCCGATGCCGCCGCATCGGCCGCCAGTGCATCGGACAGCACCGGTAACCTGTCGGCCCTGCTGGCACAGTACCTGCCCCAGCCGGGTGGCCTGGATGTCCTGGCACAGCAGATGGCCGGCGACCGGGCACCCCCCGGCCCGGTGGACCTGTCCTCCATCAATGCCTTCCCCAACACGCACATCGTCACGTCGCAGCTGCTGGCCCTGTCGCAATTTGGCGGCGGGGCCACCGGGCACCATGCGGCCGGGCTGTGCTCGGCCCCGCCTCCGACCGGCTGGCACGAGCCGCCGCCGCCGCTGCAGCAAACCTGGGAAACGGCCAACGCCATTGCCAGCCTCCATGCGCGGAATGAGCGCAACCGCCCCGGGGCCGACATGTTCCACTTCTTCCGGGTGACGCAGTCCGGCCGGCCCACCCGCCGGGATCGGAATTCCTTCCTGCCGGCCCCGTCGGCGGCTCTCGACAGCCCGAACCGCTTCGGCCCGCCGCCGGAGCACTCGTACATCGCCCCGCCGTCGGTCAGCCAGCCGCAGCTGCACACCCTGCCGGAGCTCTTTGTCCCCTATGTCGACGCCCTGGCCCTCATCGACCTGGACCTGCCCTTCGCGGCCCTGCGGGACTTGTACACCATGCGCATGTTCCCGGCCCCGGCGGTCATGATGAATGGCCGGGCCCTGCGCCGGACCCCGGCCATCTACTACAACCTCGAGACCACCGCCTACCGGTGGGGCTCCATGCTGGTGGTGGCCGGCTGCCACGCCATCAATGGGACCCTGCTGGGCCTGCTGAATCGGTTCCTGGCTCGACACCTCCGGCCGCTGGCCCTGGGCCTGGGCCCGGAGGCCGCCGGGCCCGAGCTCGCCCAAGTCGGCGGCATGGCCGATGACCCGGCCGCCGAGTCGGGCCCCAAGGCGCCTGGCCCGCCGGTTCCCGGGTTCCCCGCCAACCACCTGGCCCACGGGCGCTCCTCCCTGGCGGTGTCGCCGTCGGAGGACCACCCGACCGGCGGCAATCCCATCGGGCGTCTTCGTGTGGCCCCGTCGGGAACGCTGCTTGCGCGTTCGCCCGCCATCCGCGAGCGTGCGTCCTCACTCGGTTTTCTTTTCTCCCTTTCCGCCATTTTCCCTCGCCCGCCGCTGCCGCTGCCGCCGCCCTCGAGGGGGGCCCCCCTTGTGTTTGTGGCCATCCTAACCTCCCCCCCCCCCCCCCCCCCCCCCCCCCCCCCCCCCCCCCCCCCCCCCCCCCCCCCCCCTTCCCATCGTCGCAGGCCGTCCGACGGCTCGCCTGGCGGCCCGGCCTCGGGCCTCGCCGCGGCTCCCCACCAATGTCAGCCTGTCGATCTACCTGCGCTCCAAGGAGTTCTCCCCCTCGCCGCTCATCGATCGGGAGATGCTCTTCTCGCTGATGAAGCTGCTGTTTGTGGCGCACCCGATCAATTCGGTGGCCCTGCTCCAGCCGATCACCTTCCTGTGTGCCAACCGGTCGGTCAGCGCCTTTGTGCTGGCCTTCATCCTGTGTGTCATCAGCCCGAACCCGGCCTTGCGCATTGTCCTCGGGCCGAAGTACTCGTCGCTGGGGTTCCTCGGGTCGCGCCATGAGCGCGAATCGGCGGCCCTCATCCAGCGCATGCTGCGTGCCGGGCCCACCGGCGCCGGGGTGGAGGACCCCGGCGACGCGCCGAGCTGGACGCTCCCCTCGCGCGTGACCCTCCGCTCGGTGACCCTCCTGCGCGGGCTGATCGAGCGGTCCGACGTCTCCGGCACCATCAACCGCATGATGCTGAGCCCGGTGGACCTGGGGGTCATCCTGTCGGCCACCTCGCAGCAGGCGGCCACCGGTGGGCCGGGGGCCGGGGGGCCGGCCGGCTCGGGCTCGGCCCCTGCTGCCGCCCCGCCGGGCCCGGGCCCGGCCCCTGTGGCCGCCTCCCGGCAGGTGGTCATCCCGCTGATTCACCTGATCGAGCTGCTGCACATCGATGCCATTGTGCACGACTCGCCGGTGCTCGAGAACCTCATGGACTTGATCTTCAATGTGAGCCTGCTGCTGGTCCAGCGCCAAACCCCGCCGATGCATGTCATCGAGCAGCTCATGTCGCTGGAGCCGGCGCCCATCATCGAGCCCGTGCCGATCCTGGCTCCGAGCCCGCCGGCCTCGATGGCCTCGATGGCCCCGAGCGCCGGCGGGCCGGCCACCCCGGGCCCCGGCCCGGACACGGCCACCAGCGCCCCCCTGCCGCGCAGTCTCAACATCAGCCAGTTGCTGATCCCCACCACGTCCGTCTACCACCTGGTCAACCTGCTGCAGGTGCCGAATTGCTCCAGCCGCACCTTCGGCCTGACGCTGCTGGTGCTGTCCAACATCTCGGAGCTCCCGCGCTATCGGCCGGTGGTGCGCGATGCCATCCTGGCCTCCATCCGGACCTTGGGCCGGCGCACGGCCGCCGACATCGCCAGCCTGGCCGATCTGCTGGACCGGTTTGTCACCGTGGCCACGGTCACCCAGACCGACGAGCAGTCCAGCAGCACCAGCAGCACCGAGCAGCAAAAGATCGATGTCACCGCGGCCATGGCCAACATGGACCTGTCGCGCCTCAGCTCCCAGGTGTCCTCCCAGGTGCAGCTCCTGCGCACGGTCAAGGCCCTCGGGTCGCCCTTCAGTGTCGATGGCCCGGACTCGCCCTTCGGCCAGGCCTCTTCGGCGGGGCTTTCGGCCGACGCCGGTCCCCCGGGGCCGGGCTCGGGCTCGGGCCCGGCTGCCGCCGGCGCCGGCGCCGGCCCCGCCATGGCCGACGGATCGCCCGACAGTCAGCCCCCTCTGCGCCCTGCGGCCCCGGTGCCGGTCAGCCCGCTGGCCGGGGCCGCCGACGCCACGGCCTCGCTGATGGCCGCCTTCCGGTGGAACATCGAGCAGGTGTTCCATGACCTGACGGCGGCCGGGCTCTGGCGGTCCCTGTCCCGGGCGTTGGACCTGCTCCTGCTGTCTTCGGACTTGACCCATGTGTCGGCGGTCTTGCTCCCGGTCATCGAGTGTCTCTTCCTCATTTGCCAGGTGAGCATCTTCAAGGAGCGCTCGCTGCCACAGACGGTCGACTCGACGCCCTGCCCGTCGGCCGGCCCGAGCCGGGCCCCCTCACCGGGCCCCGGCGGCGGCCACCCCGGGCCCCTGGCTCCGGCCGACATGGCGCACCCTCTCCCGGGCTCGCACTCGGGCTCCGGCTCCGGCTCCGGCTCCGGCTCGCCCGCCTCCTCGCCCGGGGAGTACCTGGTGAAGTTTGTCTACCGGTTCAAGGTCCTCATCAACCACATCATCCGGTCGCAGACCAACCTCATCAGCAAGGGGACCTTCCTGTGTCTGGTGACCCACCTGCCGGATGCACTGGACTTCGACATCAAGCGCACCTTCTTCAACCACCAGATCCAGCAATTCCTGGACCCGAGCAGTCGGGCGGCCACGCAGGCCGCCGCCACGGCCGGCATGTTCAATGCCGGGACGCCGCCGGGCGTGGCGGCGGCGGCGGCGGCGGCGGTCTTCCCGCGACCCGGCGCCGGGGCCGCCTCGCCCGGCGGCGGCTTCCTGCCGACCGCGGCCGGGCCGGGATCGTCATTGCCCACGGCCGCCAGCATGACCGAGCTGGCGGCCCAAACGCGCCAGCCCATCCGGCTGACCGTCGACCGAGACACCGTCCTGGAGGACTCCTTCACGGCCATGCAATTCCTCAAGCCGGAGCGCGTGCGCCTGGCCCCCATCCAGATTACCTTCCGCGGGGAGCCGGCCGTCGATGCGGGCGGCGTCACTCGCGAGTGGTTCAACATCCTCACCCGGCAGATGTTCGACCCGAATTATGCCCTCTTTGAGAATGTCTCCGGCAAGAAGGTCACCCTGCAGCCGAACCGCCTGTCGCACCTGGCCTCGGCCAACCACCTGGCGTACTTCCGCTTTGTCGGGCGCATCATCGGCCGGGCCATCTTCGACGCGCGGGTGCTGGATGTCCACTTCACCCAGTCCCTCTACAAGCACATGCTCGGCCGGCCGATCAGCCACCAGGACATGGCCGCGGTCGATCCGAGCTTCCACCAGAGCCTGGTGTGGATCCTGGAAAACAGCATCGACGACGTGCTGGACCTGACCTTCTCCCATGACACGGATGACCTGGGCCAGACGGTGGCCGTGGACTTGGTCCCCGGCGGGTCGGCCATCCCGGTGACCGACGCCAACAAGCACGACTACGTGCGCCTGGTGGCGGAGCTCCGCCTGTCCAAGGCCATTGAGTCCCAAATTGGCGCCTTCCTGCAGGGCCTGCACGAGATCATCCCTCGGCACTTCCTGTCGATCTTCAGCGAGCAGGAACTCGAGTCCCTGATTGCCGGCATGCCGGACATCGATGTCGACGACTGGCGCAACAACACCCTCTACACGAACTACTCCCCGGCATCGCCGCAGGTCCAGGTTCGTGCTCTCGCCCTCGCCACACGCACACACGCACACACGCACACACACGCCCGCCCATGCATGCTGCCTGGCCTTTTCCCCTCTCTTGCTCCTGGCCCATGTCGTCGATGCTAACGCGCCCATCTTCCCTCCCTCCCCATGATGCGGCCTGCTCAGTGGTTCTGGCGTGCGGTTCGCTCTTTCAGCAATGAGGAGCGCGCGCAGCTGTTGCAGTTCGTCACCGGGTCTTCGCGCATCCCGCTCGAGGGCTTCTCCCACCTGGAGGGGTCCAATGGCCGGCAGCGCTTCTCCATCAGCAAGGACTTCCGCAGCAACAACCGCCTGCCGGCGGCACACACCTGCTTCAACCAGCTGGACTTGCCGGAGTACGATTCCTACGAGCAGCTCCGCCGGAATCTCCTGACGGCCATCAGCGAGTGCACCACCGGCTTTGCCTTTGCCTGAGCCGGGGCACTGCACGGACCCGCCCCCCCTCTCCCCCCCCCCTTCTCCCTGACATACATGTACTTTTATAGACCTTCCTTCTACCCTTCCCAAAAGGAAAAGGCGTTCGCCTGTGACCGTCACCGTCCGCCACATGCCTCCCCCCATGTGTGCGCGACACACACACACACACACACACATGACACAGGCACCAGAGAACAAGCAAGAGCGGCAGGGAAGCAGTGGCATTTTAGTGGAGAGGACAAGGACAGGGAAGCGGGGAAGGCGCAGACGCGAGCGCAAGCAAAGTGGCCCCGCCCGCTGGGCGTGCGCAAATGGGAACACCCGAGCGCCGGGACACCGCCCTTTAGTAGCGCTTGCGCTTGAGCATCGCCTTGAAAGCAATCGGGTGAGACTCGGGCGTGGCCTCGGCATCCTCGCACCACACCTTGATGGACTTGTCCACCTCGCAGGTGATCAGGCGCGTCCCGGTGTGGTCGAAGGTGGACGACAGAATGCCACACTCGCTGGCCAGCGAGCCGGGCTGCGGGACCGTCCGCGCGGTCTGGAAGTTGTAGCCGGACTTCCAGTCGTAAAAGTGCATCATGCCATTGTCGGCTGCGTGGCGTGGTGTGATGTGATGTGGCGTGGTGTGATGTGACGTGGCATGGGGTGGCGTGGTGCGGCGTGGCATGGGGTGGCGTGGTGCGGCGTGGTGTGGCGCGGTGCGGCGCAGTGTGAGTCAACGCAGAGTGGCAGGCGGACACCGCAAGAGGGAGCAGATTGTGTGACGCACCGCCAGCGAACAGGACGTTGTCCTGGTTGATGGACATGGTGTTGACGATCGGGTGGTCCGTCAGGGGGAGGTTCTGCAGGAAAGTGCCATTCGGGAACTGCCACTGCTTGATGTGGTCCGAGGAGCCGGATGCGAAGGTGTACTCGCTCGGGTGCAGCAGCACCGAGCGCACGCTCTTCTTGTGGTTGGTCAGGGTCTTGAGGCACTTGCCGGCGGCCAGGTCCCACAGGCGGACAGTGCTGTCCATGCTGTTGAGCGAACAGGGAACCGAGCCAGGGAGAGAGGGGAGGGGGGGGGGGGGGGGGGGGGTGAGTCGGGCGGGAGGAAGGGGACGGCGCGAGCACGCGGGGAGCAAGTGATGCCACACCCCCCCCCCCCGGCGGGGGAGGGAACCGACACACCTGCCGGAGACAATTTGCGGGTTGACCGACTGCGCGGCCACCGAAGCCACGGTCTCCATGTGTCCAGTCAGCGTGTGGACACACTGCTTGGCACGGATGTCCCACACGCGGACCGAGGCGTCACGGCTGCCGGTGATGAGGACATCGAGCGACGGATGCACCGCCATGCAGTACACGCCATTCAGGTGCCCGTGGTACTTGCGAATGACCTTGTTGATCTCCAAGTCCCAGCAGAGGACCTGCTTGTCCTCGCCGGCCGAGAAGAGATACGGATGCCGCTGGCTGGCGGCCACGGCCCGCACGCCCATCGAGTGGGCCGTGAAGGTGGTCTTCAGGGTGCCGGAGGCAAGGTCCCAAATCTATGCGCAGCAGGAAAAAGCAAAGCCAGGCGCAGGCATCGCGAAGGGGGGAGGCCCGGCACAGGGAGCGAGGGAGCAGGAGGGCCGTTAGCAAGTGACCGACACCGGCGACAGGGCAGGCAGGAGGGCCAGCACCAGCCGGGCACCGGCGGCAGGGCGAACCTTGATGGTCTGATCGCGCGACCCGGTGGCGAACCACTGGTTGGTCGGGTCCACCGAGATGGACCGGACCCAGCCGCTATGGCCGGAGATGACCTGATGATCGCCACGGGAGGAGGCAGATGGAGAGAGAGGGGGAGGAGGGAGGAACGACCAGAGGGGGGGGGGGAGGGACAGGGACAGGGCCAAGGGGGCGGGGGCGTTTGGCAACGAAGGAGAGGTGAGTGACGTGAAGGAGGGCAATCCCCGACCACACGGGCGAAACATCGAAGAGGAGGCGGAGAAGGGGCAGTGGACGGAAAAGAAAAAAAAAACCAGCACGCACACGCATGAGCTTCCAGGGGGCGTGCCAGGTCGGGCGCGGGACCGAGTGCGTGTGAGTCTGCAGGACGAGCGACCCGGACTCCGAGGGCGGCGCCGGGGCCCGGGCTCCAGGACCGAGGGCCGCCAGCTGCCGGTCTCCGCCGGACCCGGGGCCGCCGCTGCGCAGCACCAGCGACTGGCTGCCCGACGGGCGGCCCGACTGCTCGGCGCGGCCCGTGGCCCCGGCCACCGAGGCGTCGATGGCCGCAGCCAGGCCAGATGCCTCGGCCGTGCCGGCCTCCGCCGCGTTCTTCTTGGCCTCCGAGCGGTCCCTCCGCGTCGGGCGCTTGATGGACTCCGGCAGTCGGCGAACCACCTCATACTCGTCCAGGATTTTGGATGTCATCCGGAGCCTCTGCCTGGACAGGAGGGAAAGGCGGATGGGCGGGGGGGGGGG